AGCATATCGTAAAGATCCAAATTTGACAGAGGAAAATGTGTTCCTGTAGTCGACGAGATAGGCTGTAAATTCAAGTGTCGATGAAGTAAGCCAATAAATTTAGAACGTCGTGTTATCAATTTAGACGTCGGGGTTACCAATAAATTTATGTTGTATGGCAAAAAGGATAACCAATAAATTTAGACGTCGGGGTTACCAATAAATTCATGCTGTATGGCAAAAAGGATAACCAATAAATTTAGACGTCTTGGTTACCAATATTCCCGGTTAGTATCTTGCAGTTTTCGTCCTGAGGTTATTTGGTTAAGTTTGGGGCCTGAATTTTCCCAATATGATAGGAAAATTGTCGCTTCCACAGGTGCCATTGTGCACTGTCCACTTGTAGTCGATGATTGTGGTTGGTCACATAGCGCTAAAGTTATGACTGAGTTTATACCAGTTAGTGGATGAAGGTATTTTTGAGTTTTATCACTGGTCAAATAAGTTGTTTGTCCTATCAAGGATTCTATAATTTTACCCTTATTGTTAGTTACCCTACTTCTCAATATATTTTTGTCCATTAAAATCACCTAGTAATAGAAATGATTTTGGAAGATGTTGATTTACATCGTCAAGTTCTGGTTGATTTATTTTCTCATTTGGTGGTATGTATATGAAACATATAGTTAATGTTTTGTTTAGGGTTGTTGATACAGTAATTACCTGTATTTCAAAGAATCTGGCTCTATGATATCTTATTATTTACTGTTATGGTCTTGCCACCTGAAGTTTGATTAATATAAGAATAATTATAGGTATAATGTTTGCTATTTATATTTTTGATTTAATGAATGACTCTTGCAAGCAGTTAATTGTTGGCGAAAGATCCACGGTGAGTAGAAGTTAATTAATCTTCACACATCGGATTATCTTATTTGCTAGGGTTGCTTCTGATGGATTTTTATTTGGGAATTTTAATCGTTTGGAAGTTTTGATTTTTGACGTCCATTTGTTTTAGTTCTTCGAAACTGGATCAGACTTCATTTTTATTTTTGCTTTTGGTCAATGTTATGTTCGTTCTTTTTCTTTAGATTGGTCACACGCTTACCAGCAGGTTTCTTTCTTGTGTTTTCTTTGTTGACTTGGATTCGAGAAAACATTTATTTTCTTGAAACTGACAACGAACTGTTTCTGATTTTCTATTGTGTGCTGTTTTTTTGCTTTTTTTCGTTTTTTCGTTTTTTGTTTTGTTTTGTTCTCCTCATTGTTTTGGTTTGGATGATTTGATTTGCGGTTTATCTTGGGAAAGGATACAAAATGTGTTGTGTTTTTCCTCACTTGGTTCTTTATTTGACTTCATTATTTTAGTTCTTAACTTTTTCAGTTTCGGCTTTATTTTATTTGCACCCCCACTTGTAGCAATCTTTGCAGTTTTGTATTTTTCTTGCATACTTTTTAAAGAGGATGTCTTTGCAGCTTCCACCACTTTTCGTGCTTCCAGAAAAAGAATGTTTCTTGTATATTTTACACTTAAGATTTCTTTATTTTCTATTTTTCAAAAGTCCTTGCATGTGCCGGGTGGTCTTCACTACAATTTGCACATTTGCATGAATTTTGACATTCGTCTGTGGAGATTTATTGTACATAAAAATACAATTGTGACACGTGGCCTAAAAAAGGGGAGGGACACTAATTATCTTATACCTAGCTAATCTGATTCATGACCAATTCACCCATTACAATTTCCACATTCACCATAAAAACTCGTCCGTCATCACTCAATCCTCCATACGCCACAATGCCGCATCCTCTCAAGGGGGTCTTACAAAAACGCGCCCCATGCCATAAAAATTTAATGATAATAAATTATTATATATAAAAATCTAATAATAAAGAATGAGAGTGGAGGGAGATGAACCCCAGAAAACAAACTAAACATAAACACAAAGTAACCTAAACATAACTGATGTTAGGGCCCGTCCAACCCTTAAAACAGAAACGCTGTATTCTGCTGATTGGACAAAATCAAGAGGTTCTCTCGCTGAGAGAGTGAGAAAAGGATAAAAAAATATACGGACATGGGAAAATAAAAAGCTGACCCAGTCGAGATAAAAAGGGGCTAAAACAAACTGGGGAGGTTGGGATGCAGGCCAGGAACAACACTTACTCACATTAACTAGGTACACAAGGCTTGTTTAACCTAACCAAGTGTAGGGCTCCACAGGAAACCACCCCGATGTGACGTTGACATAAAAGAGAAAATCAAGGCTAGCCCCGTTCAAATGAACCAAACTAGCCTCGGTCACCCACCTTTCACTGAAGACTGTCGAATGCAAGCGTTTTCTATCAGTTCTAATCTTCATCTTGAGCCGATACTCAATGAATCGGATTAGATCCTGATGAGAAAGACGGTTGCCTCACAAGACTTCCTCCTGACGCGTCGTTCAAATCACCATTTGGGCCGTGACCAGCATCGTCAGAAACACCATTCGTTTCACCCCAGAATACGGGGGCGACACATTGTCACACGCGTATGCGCGATCAATGAGCACGAGCTCTTCGGGAGCGAGATGAGCCGTCAACTCGCCGACATGAAAGACCTCGGATTAAAAAGCAGAATGCCAATATTCATCCAGAATTTCTAAGAAAAGCGAAACTTCAAACTGCAAGTGGAAACTGCGCTTTCAAATTTAAAAGAGCGGGAAAATGATGTAACGAAAGGAAGTATTTTGTGGGTCATTCTTTTTAACATCAAAATAAATAACAGTAAAAAGCCTTGTGTCTGAATGGGATTACTTTTTTAAGTGGATGATTTTCTGGTATGTTATAGATGGAAGCACATGCATAATATAGATGGAAACACACACGTGCTATAGAACACAAATTCCAACTAAACCTGAAGAGAAAAGTTGTAACAGGGTCGAAGAGGTTGTTAATATAATATTTGTAGTAGTAATCGATAGAGGAATCCTTTTTACTTTTTTATACTGAAAACGAAATCAATAAAAAAAAACGCACAACAATAATATAAACAATAATACACGAGATACATGTTGACATTAATAACAAGAATTCTCATTTTTCTTTTTCGTGATATGAATTACAGATATCGGTAGGGTTAGGGTTAAAATGTTACTAGTGTTACTATCTCTTTTGATACTTTAAAATTTTCTGTTTACTTATTTTTGCTTGTTCCAAGAATTTCGTTGTTAAGGACATCGTTTGAGTTCGTCAACTTTCGGTTTTCACGAAGGGATGAAGATACTTGTTGGGCCTTTTTACAACTGCTACTGCCACTTGCTACTCTAGTCTACTCTACTGACCCCACTGTTCTGACTGCACTATGACTCAGATTTTTGAATCATGAAATATCTTTCTCATCTTTCATCACTGGTGGCAAGGTTGTTTTTAAGATGATGAAATTTTTTATCTTTATTTCTAGGATGATGGAATATCCTTCTTTTCTATCATCACTGATGACAAGGTTATTTTTAGAATGATGAAATATCCTTCATTTCTATCATCACTGATGACGAGGTTATTTTTAGAATGATAGAATATCATTCTTTTCTATCATCACTGATGACAATGTTATTTTTAGAATGATGTAATATCCTTCATTTCTATCATCACTGATGACAAAGTTTTTTAGAATGATGGAATATCATTCTTTTCTATCATCACTGATGGCAAGGTTATTTTTAGAATGATGAAATATCATCATCATTCTGGATCATAGCAAAATCAAACAAACTGAAGAGAACAGATTCATGAACTCCGAACTAAAACAAAATACGTGTATTTTGTAACCACCACAAAATAAATAATGACCCCTCACCCAATGGCATAGCTAGAGTGTGTACCGCCCGTGGTAGCTTTTAGGTTTGTCGCCATTCCCCGTCACCCACAAAAATACATATTGCACAGTGACTCGTTCTTAAAATTAGAAAACTAGTTTGTATACCATTTACTTTCACATACTCAGGTATAATATGCTTTATATACATACCAGACATATTTCAACTTTACCAGTGACAGTTACAAAGCACAAATGACATATCAGGTAAAAAAAAAAGTATAAAAAATTACGACCATCTTTATTTCTGAAATGAAAATTACAACTTTATACAAAGTAACTTTTCTTACTTCTTTGTGGTAAATTCTTCAATGACATCGTCAAAAACTATTTCATCTGTCAATTGTTGCTCTGTAGACAATAGATAGGCCAATATATATGTCATAGTTTAAGTTACTTGAAATTGAAAAGATCCTTCAACTGTGAATATTGTACAGACATTACAACTACTTTTATTTCAATACAACCTATACAGGCTTATAGCCTACAGCATACACGAAAGTGCCTTGTCGACTTACACATAGATGAGCCTCAATCAGTGCCAGACATCCTGGCTATGCCATTAATCTAGATCTAGGTCTTGTCCGGTAGTTTTCTGAATCAGCACACAATAGAGAGTTTGTAGTAAGAATAAATACTGTTCGTACCATTACTGGGAGGAAATGTTCATCATGGAAGCAGAATGTTTAAATATTTATGTTTTGTTTCAAGCATACTTATATAATATAACCCTACATGGGTCTAAATACTAAATATGTAAGATATATATTACCATGTGAATAACACTTTCAGTAGAAATAAAAGGTAATGATTTGAGTGGAGCACAGAAGAAGAGGGCTGCAGAGGAGAAGAAAAAATAGGAATACTTCAAAACTTAACATCGTGGCTAAACACAGTTGCTATGACAGCCACTCATACCATTCCTTCAGATAGAGCATTCACATCACTAGCCACTGCTGCAATGTCAGCCACTAGTACTCTTCCTTCAGATATAGCATCCACATCACTAGCCACTGCTGCAATGTCAGCCACTAGAACTGTTCCATCAGATATAGCATCCACATCACCAGCCACTGCTGCAATGTGAGCCACTAGTACTGTTCCTTCAGATATAGCACCCACATCACCACCCACTGCTGCAATGTCAGCCACTTGTAATGTTCCTTCAGATATAGCATCCAGGATCACCAGCCACTGCTGAAATGCCAGCCACTAGTACTGTTCCTTCAGATATAGCATCTACATCAGCATCCATTCCTGCAATGTCAGCCACTAGTACTGTTCCTTCAGATATAGCACCCACATCACCACCCACTGCTGCAATGTCAGCCACTGGTACTGTTCCTTCAGATACAGCAAGCACATCACTACCCACTGCTGCAATGTCATCCACTAGTACTGTTCCCTCAGATATAGCATCTACATCAGCATCCACTGCTGCAATTCCTGCAATATCAGCCACTGGTACTATTCCTTCAGATATAGCATCCCCATCACCAGCCACTGCTGCAATGTCAGCCACTTGTACTGTTCTTTCAGATATAGCATCCACATCACCAACTACTGCTGCAATGTCAGCCATTAGTACTCTTCCTTCAGATATAGCATCCACATCACCAGCCACTTCTGCAATGTCAGCCATTAGTACTCTTCCTTCAGATATAGCATCAAAATCTACATTCATTCCTGCTACCAATCAGCCATTTTCAGCAGACATACCTGTTGCTAATGCTGGTGGTGACATTTTACAAAAGGAAATACCTGTATATGTAATAGTAAAGGAGTTTGCAATCCAAGAGACAGATTTTGGGCTTTGGAACATTAATGATATTAACAAAATAGATTAATGGAATCGTAGTGGACCTTTATCATGTCAAAATCATGACTGCAACCTTTCGTAGCGTGTATAAAATAGATGGGGTAGAGAATATGAAGACAATGTATTTATCAAATAATGTCTTCAAACGTGAAAGACGGAATGACGAGTGTGTAAAATGTGAATGGATTCTCTATTCACCACCCAAAAGTCGTTTGTCCGGCTTTCTATGTCGCCTATTGTTCAAGAAAGAATCTCCTTTTGCTACATCGGTGTTTCTCACAGTAAGGTTTTTGTAGAACATGAAAATGGAGAAAAACATCTAAAGTACATGACAGCATATTTGATAAAGCATAAAAACTGGAAGGGTAGATTCTTTATTACTTGAGCAACATCGCTCAGAGCAGGAATATTGGCATAAAATGTTGATACGTTTGCTTTCTGTAATTCGCTTTCTTGCCTCCAAAGTTTTGACATTTCGAGTAGAAAATCAGATCAGCAAAAAATGGCAACTATTATTGTATACTAGAGCTGCTGAGTGAATTTGAACCTTTCTTGAAAGGACATCTCAAAATGTACACTATGTACATTATTCGGACTATTGTCCTCATCTTTGTCGCCATATTTATAACAACGTTTCGGCCGCTGTACGCTCCGGCCTTCTTCAGGTGGTTGGAATGTCGAATATAGGCAGATACATCTCAAAATGTATGGAAACCATGGAAAAGGGAATTCGTCATATTTATCTGCAAATATTTGTGATGAATTTATTGAATTAATGGGACAACAAATTCTTTGTAGTATTCTTGAAGAAATAAAAGAATCAAAGTATTATCCAATAACTGTAGATTCCACACTAGACATCTCTAACACAGATCAACTGATATTTACTGTCCGATATATTAAAGGCTGTGAGCCGGTGGGACGTTTCTTGAGGGTCATCCCAATCTTTGCTCATGGAGCAAAGGATCTAACAGACACTATTGTGGATTTTCTTAATGAGAACAAAATTCCACTATCAATAATTCTTCAAATATGTCTGGACGATATACTGGATTGCAAGTACAGATTCATCAACACAGTGAGTTTGCCATCTATGTCCCCTGTGCCGGACATAGCCTGACGGGAGTAAAAGCAGCAGAGTATTGTCTACAGACTGTAAAATTCTTTGACTTTGTTCAGCATCTGTATTCATTTTTTGCTGGTTCTACTCATCGCTGGAATGTACCGACATCATCTCTAGGATAATATTTTGTGGCTAAGCATCTGTCTGACACATGATTGTCAGCACATTTTGATGCTGTTCATGTTCTGTATGGGAGTTTCGAGAAAATAAAATATACACTGGATTCTCTATCAGTTGAAAATGAACAGCAAATGAATACATGGCGAGAGGCAGAAGGATTGAGCAAAAAAAAATGGAAAAACCCGGAAACACTCTTACAATTCTTTGCAATGACATGCTAGAAAGAATGAACAAAACTAGCAAGGTCCTGCAACATCCTTGTTGCCACGAATCTACTTGAGTTTATGAAAACATATCTTCAGGAAACTAGAGACAAAATTAGTGAATATGAATTCAAAGCCAGGATTGTATGTCAAGATACAGATTACAGTAATGGAAAAAAAACGGGAATGAAAACGAAGTGTACGTTTTAATAGATACGATGAATCAGCAGAAAAGGTACTTCTCAGTAAAAGCGAAAAGTTCAACGTGGAAACTTTCCTCCCTATTCTGGACATTCTAATCTTTGAACTGACAAAACATCCAGAGGCTTATTCTCAGATTAGAAATTTATTTTCTTTCTTCAGTGAATTGATAACCATTGCTTCTGATGCACTAGAACAATTGGGTTAATATAAATCACAAAGACCTTGAATGGGAGCATCTCAGGCACTACATGACACTTGAGGAAAATTGTGAGACACTCCCTGCACTGTACAGACAAATAATTTCGGACAATTTGAAATCTGTATTCCCGAATTTCAACATATGCATGATGGTGACCAGCTGTACAGAAGAACGTTCTTTTTCAAGATTGAAACTTATAAAAATCTGCTTTCTAACGCAATGGGGCAACATCATTTGAACTGGCTGTTTTTTGTTTTTCTCTCATGTGCATAGAAAATGACATCCGATTCCTGAAGACCATTAAATTCAAACCAATAATAAAGCAATTCTCTGAAAAGAAATGCCGGAAATGCTTGTTACAGTGCAACCCGGATATAAGAGAGTTGTCGGGACCGGAGAAAAAGTCTCTTATATCCGGGTTTCTCTTATATTCGGGTTTGGTCTATTTTATATACATTAACACAGGCTCTAATTTGGGACCAGAGAAAATCTCTCTTATATCCGGGTTTCTCTTATATCCGGGTCTCTTATATCCGAGTTACACTATATAATAAATACGTAGTAATCTCATACTGTATTATCTAATGTGTGGTTTACTGTGTATTATTGTGCTTTTCAAACCCTGTGTATTGATCAAATATTTATCATATTGAGGGGCACCTCGAGGTGATGTAATGATTAGCAAGCTTGTCTCACTAGAACAATTATGACTGAATTCGATTCTCACTGAGTACCCCATACTTTCGGCCTTGTGCCACATCTAAGCTACGCTTAGAAAAGTACTATATTAGGCATTTCGACGTGACGTAATGGTTAGCAAGCTTGTTTTGCTAGGTCAGTTACGACTGAATAGTGAATTCGATTCTCACTGGGTACCCCATACTTTCGGCATTGTGCCACATCTAAGCTAAGCCTAGAAAATCATTTGGCCACAATTTCTGTAAGATCTGAAATAAATACAAATGTTTATTATGTCGATTATTGGCTGCTGTACAGTATGTTTTAACACCAGTTTTGTTGAAGTGCCAATAAATTAAATATATGTATAATATTATCGACCATTTACTTTTTATTCCCGTGAGTGGCTGTCGTAGGGGACCCAGCACACTGGTTTGCCCAGGGCCCCATAATGCTGTTATGACGGCCCTGGCTCAAAGCGAGAATTAAGATACATGCAAAATTAAGAGACAAACCGAAACATATAATGAAAAATTTTACCAGTCAAACCCTATGGAATTTCTACGGGTCCAGCTAATCTTCAAGAAATATAATCAAATAAAAAAGATCCCCATCGCTGAGACAAGCTGACATTTTTTACCTGATTTTCTTCTTAGAGAATTTAATTAATATACTTTCGTCAGGTACAAGAAATTGTAGGTATAGCCAAAATGGATGCGTTTTTTTTTGTTTTGTTTTTTTTTCCGACATGACAGCAAGAAACGCTGCCCCCTGTTTTTAAAAATTTGCCAGGGAAACCGGGGAATTTTACGATTTAAATAAATTTTCGTCACTTACTCATTAATGAATTAATTGTATACTGAATAGGTTATTTTATCAGAAAACTTTGTAGAAAAGTTTTAGGGGGTTAGTTATCCCCATTTTCATACATCGTGTATATTTTTTTAAGTCTGGAAGGTGGGGCTGAGAGATATTTTTTTACAGTTTTATAAAGAAAGGTCCCTGAAAATATTATTTCATTAAAAAATTGCAATATCAAATCAGAACATCTTGAAAATTTGTCATGAAATATTACAAAAATAATTCACTAAAACTAAAAAAAAATTTGCTAAAAGTTGATGCTTGCGTAATTTAATAAAACACGTTCATATCTTTCAGATTTGGCAGGAAAAAATCTAAAATGAATACTTATTTATTTTTGAAAAGTTTATTTGTAATTTTCCAGTATGGTTTGGAAATTTTTCCGGTTGCTGATGACAAAAGATATTTTCTTTTATTTCATAAAGATGTATTTGAAGAATTCAAAAATGTAAAGTTTAATGCCATTTTCGCATCAGAATTATTTTTTAATTATTTTTGCGACTGTTAAATTATTTTTGTACGGATGATCAAATAGGAAATGATTTCACAATTCTGAATTACCTCCCTGTTTGTTATATGCGGTTAAAATATAATTATGTAGTATGTCTGAAGAGGTTTAGAATATTTTATGACATTGATAGTTGAAAGAAAGCAAAGTCAAAGTGTTGTGATGATATAACCCAACTTCCCCATTCACGATAATGGACGGACTGGTTGCCGATTAAGTACGACCACAGCGGACAGTCGTGAAGTCTTCGGTTGTTAACACCTATTGAGGTTAGCATACTTCTGACTCTGTCTCTGTATTTGACACACCTACATCCGATTATAAACCTATTATTGAAAACCAACACTCGGGTTACTTTGTTTATTATATCTTGCACGAGATATAACAGCTGGCGACGAGGATTGTGCAACGTACTTACTTGAAAAAAAAAAATGAATATATATATCAGATTACGCTGAACGGATTTCGAAAGCAGATTCGCAAGATATCAGTTGACGCCGATTAGAATTTCGAAAGCGGAGTCACAAGTCAAAAGGAAACTTTTTGAAAAGTAAGAAAATTTTTACTGTTAAATTGTGATTTGAAAAATATATATTGACCCGCGACTCAAATGCGAGCCGGTCTAATAATTGATTATTCAAGTAAAAATTACGGGTTGTAAAAATATTACGGCTGTAAATTGTCTGTTAACCGTCTAAAAAAAAAAAAAAAAAAAATTTTTTTTGCCGAATTCTAAATAAAGTCAGGATGGAGCAATTAGTCGAAATGACTAAACTGCTGTGTACAAGCTTGCAACAGCAACAACAACAGCATCACGAGTTACAACAACAGCAACAACAACAGCACCAAGAGTTACAACAACAAATACTGCAACAGCAAAAAAGTCTCGAAACAATTCTGAAACAGACGACTGGAGAAAGAAAAAAT